GGGCGGGCGGCGGCCCCCGGGCAGGTGCCGAGCGGCGAGCGGAGCCGGGCCGGGCGGAGCGCGGGGGGCGAGGCCGGCGCGTCGCTCGCTCGCGGGAGGCCGGGGAGCGGCAGGGGCATGTGGATACTGGCTCTCTCCTTGTTCCAGAGCTTCGCGAATGGTGAGCCTTTCGGTTTGTGATGAATTTCATTTCTTATAATTCACGGGGGCGGGGGTTGGGGGGACTGGATGCATGGGGAAAGTCTTCTCCCATTGCCCCCCATCTGTGTTCAAATTTGCTTGCTTTCATTTATTTTTTCAATATTATTTTTATTTCTTCGGGGAGCAGAGGTGGCAACGAAGAGAGGCTGGGGGAGAAATTGCTCTGTAATCATTTGAGGGAGCTTACCTAGCCAAGTGACAGCTCAGAGCCTAACTCCAGTACTGGAGAGCTGCCTCGTTCAGAATAAACCAGGTTTGGTGGCAGGAGGAGAGACAGGAAGATCGCCACTTTGCCTATTGCAACCTGGAAAGGGATATGGCATGCCAAGTGCAGGCAGGTGCAGGGGTCAATGAAGAACATTTGCCTTCAGATTTAAAGATTTTGGAGCTTTTAAAACATATACTTTAATTCTACTACAATTTATCTCCAGCAGCAATGAAGGCTTTAAGAAAGATCTATCCTTCTATGCGCCCCCCCCCTTGGTACTACATATTCCTCACGGGTCGTTTATGTAAAAATATGCACTGATAAGCATTACATCATCTGAAATGTTGACAAAATTTTTTTTAAAAAAACACCTGTATAGTTGTAAAAATGAAATCAGTGAATATTGTAAACAGCATTCCTCTCCTCATGCCTGGCCAATATTATAATTTGAAATGCTTTCTTCCTGGGTATTTAGAAAGCTATTGCTCTTGACTCAGTCAGACCCAGTTAGTAAGTGAGACTGCACCTTAGGTTACCTGTCACACGTAAATATGAACTTACATGTATGAATGGCTTCCTCTCATGTGGGAACGAGAGGAAATCGTCATCATTGGACATAGCTACAGCTTAAATTCCCATTTCAAATTTTGGAACACATATCTGCATACAATGTATAACCTGCTGACAGTTTAAATTAAACCATTAAGCAGAATCCCCTACGGAGGGGGGAGAAGAAGACACAGAGAGAGAGAGAGAGAGAGAGAGAGAGAGAGAGAGAGAGAGAGAGGAGAGAGGAGAAGGGAAGAGAGGAGAAGAGAGAAAATCTGGCTCTGTGAGAAAATACCAGAAGCAAAGGGAGGCTCTAAGATTCTCCTGGAAGATGCACAGGGAAGCTCTGGCTGCATAGGAGTGCATTTGCTTTGCTTACCTAGATATTGCTTAAAGAATCAACATGCCAAGAGGCCAGAAAAAAAAAGCATAAATGTCAAATTTTTAAAAAAATGATGACTAAGATAAAGGTAGAGTTGGAACAAGGAACTCCCCAAATTAACATTCAAATGGCACTTTGCTCTCTGATATAACCTAAAGCAAAGTGTTTGAAACTTTCATTTTGAGATTTCCTAGCAGGAAAGAATTGCAACAAGTTCTGACAAGGCTCGCGTCTTTCCCAGAGGGCACTATACCTGGCCTGCATCCGCTGGGGAATTTACCTTGGGGGAAAGATCTGCTTTAGGGAACGTGGAGCTGTGTCGGAAGGCAGCCCTTTCTGCTGTTCTGCTCATGTGCCCTCACAAGAAACATACAAATGCTCATAGATGTGTTCCTAAGCCACAAAGCCGTGACAAGCCTGTCTCGCCTGTCAGGCCGTACATCTCTGGACTCCTCGGAAAGGCCTGGGTTAGAGGATGAAACAAAATTTCTACCCTATTGGGAAGCATGTGTTTCAGGATGACGAAAGAGGTTGTGCTTCTGGTTGTCAGTCAACCAATATCTATTAACGGTGTAAGTTATGTATGACAAAAATATTATGGAAGAATTTATGATCATCTTTCTTTGATACAGAGATGCTATACATGTGTTTGGGTTTTTTAAATCAATATTTTTTAACTAAAATAATCATAGAAAAAATCATACCTAGTAAGAAAATTATATAAAGCCTCAAATATTCTTCTCCAACATGGAAAATACATGCAACGAACATGTAGGCATACATGTATTGAGTTCTGTGAGTGTTATCTTCTGTTCAAGACTTTTAAAATCAATTGCTAATCACCATCATTGTTACTGTAATGAATATAGGTAGAATACACAATATAAGACATAACTAGTACATGAAAATGAATATTTTACATTGTTGTGTTATGTGTTCTGATCCTATCTGCCAGGAAGCTGTGGAACTATCTTATATAAAAATGGCTCTCTCTTTATATGATCAAGTGTTTTTTTGTTTTTTTTTTTTTTTAAGATTGACTGTAGAGCTTTGGGATCTTTCATTTTGGGGGGCAACCAGCTTTAGAGTTTTCTAAGGAATGATGTTCACTACATATTGTGAAAAAGATCATAAAATCTATAGTCATGTCAAAATAAAATAAGGGTCCAGTTTGAACGCTGCCTGTTCATAAGATCATATTTCAAAAATGTGAAAGTAAATGGTCCCTACCTATCTGAATGTGACTTAAAAAAATGGAGAAGTATTTTTTTTTTTATCAACAACTGTCATATTTTGGTCTACTTTAATTTTGAAAAATTTCTGAATGTGTATTAAAAGATTTATGAATTCTAATACCTAAACTGATTACTGCTAGGCCTCAACCACCAAAATGCATTACATACATGATAAAAAAGATTTTTTTCATTTGTAAAAGATTATGTAGTTTAATATTTGGGGTGCTGATAAAATAAGCCTGTAATATATCTGCATTTTTACAGGAGACAGGAGCATGTATGGGATATACATTTATTTCTTAATAAAAATGTGGTTGCTGGACAGGCTGCAGACAGTATTTTGGGCAAAAAAACAGAAGTCAGGGACCAGTCCCTTCATGGGTTAAACCCTTGAATGAATGACCTCACCTGATAAGGTGCAGTAATCATGTGTTAAAGCAGTCAACTTGTTCTGCAACATTCTGGAAATACACAAGAGCTTCTGTTACAGTGCAAGGAACTGGGGTACACATATGTGCAGACACTCACCCACACACGTCCCTCAGCGTCTTCTCAGCTCACGCATCCTACTGCATTGTGTTTCATCACAATTTCTCTTGGTTTTAACCCCAGAGGGAACATTCTAGTTACAAGCATAGATGGGCCTTCAGTTAAGCAGAATGGTGAATAATTGGCAGAGGTATTATACATATTTTTGCTAGTCTGCTAGCATCTCTGTTTTTATACACACACATCCTTGACATGGTCTTTTCCTGAGCTGTGGGATTTTGAGCTTTACTGCATCCGATTTCAGGGGGCCCACTCGAGGTGGAGATTACAGAGGGTGGGGTGATGGGAGTGAGAATGTGCTTATCAAAGCGAAGGTGGCGTGCGGCACCTCTGGGCACTATCGGTTCGCTCGATAGGGAGTTACAAAGTACACACTTGATATTTTATTTAAATGCAGCAGCAGAGCTTCGTGAGTACAAACGCACCTTGAGGGCTTTGAAGGGGATTTTTATTTAATTCACATAAATGTAATGTATGTAAGGAAAAATATTATTAGGTGAATGATTTCAGGGCTTCTCTCCCTCCCACATCTTTATTAAGCAGATTAAAATTCTACCCCAGATTTTCAGGTTTCATCTACAATTCCTAGGCCTTTTAACTCAAGCTGCCTGCCCCTACAAGATGCCCTCTGTAGGAAAACAAAATGCCATGCAGATTTAATAAATGCCAGCCGATCCCTCTCCACTTTGTGACTCTCTCCTTTGCCTCACCGGTGTGACCACGGTTTGCTGCCTTGGGGAATCGGTGGGTCATGGGGCAGAAGCAGTGTAATACTGCATTCTGGTAGGGGGACTAATTTCGACTGAAAAAAATTGCCAATTTAAATCTCCAATTCCTGGACCTCCATGTAGCTGGCAGACTATTTTATCATTGATGTGTCTGCGCTGAGGTGCACTGAGTATTTCAAAAAGAGATTCAATTCGATGCGTGTTGAAACTCGATGTAAAGCGGGGGAGGAGGAGGTCATTTTATAAAGAAAACCTATGATCACCGTATGAGATTGGAAATTTAGGTTTGAAAAATAAAATGATGGATTTCTCAAGTGAGTACATGTACGAAATCTATGGCATCGAGGTTTCATGAAATTAGCTGAATTCTACGGGTGAAATTATGAATGTGGTTCATACATAATTAATAGTAGTGAAAAAGGATAGGTTTTGAATTAGGAGGAGCGTTCAGTAGCATTTTCAGAAACGAGCAGTCCCCTGTGCTTGGTTTTCGTGCGCGTCCGGCCACCTCGCCAGAGCGGCGGGGACCCTGGGGTGTGCCCACGCTCACGAGCGTCTGGGCATTTTCTGGGCCGCTGCGCGGAAGTGCACGCTGGGCCTTGGCGACCGCACTGTCAGGCTGGGAGCGAGTGAGGTGCTGCTACCTGCATGTCGGTTGTGTCCCCGCCGTAGGACACTAGTGGGCGGCAAACCTCACAAGACTCGTGCAGCAAGCCCGCAGCAGAGCCGGAGAGGAGGCCGCCTCCAGCAAGGACTGCTCCGCGCAGTGTCAGGGGCTTTCCTGGGGCGCCTCCCCGGGAACTCTCGGGTGCACTGCGCCCGCACTCCGGGAGCTGGAGTTCGGTAACAGGAGCGATGCCCAGGCGACGGCAGGTCAGGCAGGGTCCGGCAGCCTTTGTTTTCAATCGTACAGCCGAGGACCATGCATGTTCACAGCAGTATTTGGAAAGCTAGAAGGTGCCCAGAAAGGGAAAAGGGGTGATGCAGAGGACCGGTGCGTCCGCGGAGGGTGCATTTGCATACCCGCTTCCGAACTGGCGAGGGAGCCCGGCGTGGCGCGCGCGCGCGTCTGGAGGTGGCAGCTCCCGGAGCAGCTCCGCGCCTGATTGGCTGACCTTCCAATGTCATTCCAGGAGCCGCCGCTTCTCCTGCTGATGGTGACAGGGTGATGCTGACGTGCCCGCTCCTCCGCAGTCCATCAATCTCCTGCAGGCAAGGCTCCAGGGACCGGAGCCCCCTTCCCTCTCCTCTAGGCAAATGGGAAAGCACCTGTTCCTCTGGACTGGGTGTTAACTCTTCATGCTCCAA